TCTTCCGATCTCCCCAAAACCCCAAAACCCCATTCTACACAATTTCATAAAATCAGAGAAAAGTACGATTTATTATAATTAGAAGAATGAAATTATTTATAGTTGCAGGAATTATTTTTTTCATAAATTAATGGCATATTAGTCACATCTAGGCCTAAACACCTTCAGAAGATGGCTATTATGCTAATAATTGTCTTGGTTGCTTAACTGCTAATGATACCTATACTTTTTGCGGTGGTTCAACTCGTAAATGTTATAAAGGGCTAAATACAGCTTGCACAACTACAATCTATGACTTCGTTTCTAGCTGCGGTATTGATCAGTGCGGAAGCAGCACTCACACGTTCCTAATTAACAAAGTTAATGAAACAAAGACTTCTTCTGTCAGTATAGGTATTGGTACTAAGTGTTCTATGACCTTTTAGTGTCAGACAGCAATTTGTAGAATTTATATGCAGAACACAGCAGGTTACAACATGAAAGCGTATAAAATGAATAAAACGACACCATTATCTGAAAGCGACGTTATCTCAGAGATTAATCCATTTGGATGGATAACCTGGAGAGGAAGCGACATCACTGTCATGTTTGCTAATATTGATCTAACACAATCGCAATCTATAACAGTTTTATACTCGTAAGCCTAAAATTAGCTAGCAGTAGTTTCAAGTATTGCTGCTCTGCTACTGATAGGTCTTATTAATTTTAATTTATGATTAATTATAACTAAATTATAAGTTAATGGAAATTAAAGGTTCATAAACATAAAGAAACAAAATAATATCGTATTCAAGAAATCTAAAGACAATTTAACTTACTGAATCAGGAAAGTGATCTTAGGTAGTTTAAAGGGATGGAAGTTTATTTGAATATAATGATTATACAATCAAGACTATTGGTAAAATGCTCTCAGACTCGAAAGAAATCTTCAATAAAGTAACTATTGTAGGAGAATCTAAGAAAAGATGCAAAACCCTAAAACCAATAGAAGTTCCTGAATTAGTCTAGTTATACATAGAAAACTATCAACAAAAAATAAAGAAGTGAAAAAGATCATCTTAAGAGAGAATGAATAGATCCAAGGAAATTGATAAGATAGATTCTGATAAATTTGAGAAGAACTAATTGAAGGAAGAAATCGATTATTTAAGGAAGCAACTTCATAATAGAGAAAGTGATGAATAACTTATTGGAATCGCTCAAAACTTAGCTACAATAGCTAAATCAGTGCTACCCTCTCCAAAGCCTGGATAAAAGATGAACCCAAAGAGAATAAAGCATAAGAAATTGTATGGAGATGCGTTATAATTTGACCCAAGTAAAGGATTGAAGTAGCCATAAATTACACCTTTTGGGTTATTTCCTAGTATTTCAAGGTCAAATAACATGCTTCTCGATGAATCAAATGCTCATCAATATCCTTCAAATGATTATATGTCTATAGCAGATTAATCAATAAGTTCAAATAACTATAGAACTGCAACCATTTTGTCGCATAGAGCTTCATCATAAAGTTTAATATAAGCAAGTAAACTTACTTCCAATAATAATAGCCCTGATAAGTAGAGATTTTAAATCTTAGATTAAAAATAAAAGTATGTATCATCAAAATTCAAATCAAATAAATCGAATAAGAACCATTACAATAACTCTAACCAAACTGAGGGAGGGACTGACCATTCTAATTAAGTAATATTCAAATCCTTCAGCAAGCGCAACCTCAATGATGTGCTTGATAAGTTCAATGACTAGCTAATGGTCTAGAATGGCTTCAAGACCCAGAGAGTAATCAACCTTAGCACTAACTTCGGAATGAGTTTAGCTAAGAAGCGAGAGTATGTTGAGAAGGAGAGGAATTTGGAGAACCTCATCAGTCTCTCTCGTAAGGATAAGCCCTTCTTTGAAAGACATGTATCTGTAGAGCAGTTGCTTTTGAAGGATGAGTTCAAAATTGTGAGGGAGCGGACTAGACTGATACTTGCTGATCGTAAGAGATTCCTTGATTAAATCATGTAGAAAAATGACATTCAACCGTACTCCTCTTAATGAACATACAATGCTAACTCAATTTTATATTATTTTAAGAAGTTTAATTTTTAACTAAAGCTTAATGATTTCTATTTAAGGGGTTTAAAATTCTTCAACTGGGGTTTTGGGGTTTTGGGG